CAAAATTCCTGGTTACGAAACCTGCCACTGCGATCACCCTAATGGTACCACTCATGCCGGTTCTGCAATATTAATTAAATCTTTAATCAAACACTCGATTATGCCATTCTACCAAACTCCTAGTCTACAAGCCACTAATATTACATTAGTGCTTAACAATATTCCACTTACTATATCATCCATACATTGTCCACCTAATCAAAAAATTAATACTAATATTTTTACTCAATTTATTAATTCTCTTGGAAACAACTTTCTTGCTGGGGATGATTTTAACAGCAAACATTCCCTTTGGGGTTCAAGATTAATAAACACCAGTGGCCGCATATTACATAACTCCATAACAACCAAAAACTAAAAGTTCTAGAGAATTTACCCAATAATCCTCGATAAAAAAATTCTTCCAAACTCTCAATTTGGTTTTAGAAATAAACATTCTTCTCTTCACCAATTCCATAGAATAGTCGACACAATAGCTTCTTCTTTAGAACAAAAACAGTTCAGGTGCTTTTCTAGACGTGACCCAAGCGTTCGATCGAGTTTGGCATGGTGGCCTCTTATATAAACTTCGATTTCTACCTACCCCACTCTATCTACTCCTCAAATCCTATCTAGCCCACCGTTCCTTTTCGGTTCGATGTGATGACAAACTTTCTACAGTCCATCACATTAAAGCAGGTGTACCCCAAGGCAGCATTCTTGCCCCTACTCTATATAACATATTCACGGCTGATATTCCTCATTCTAACGACACTATCTTAGCCACCTTTGTCGACGATACTGGTATAATTTCTTCAAATCTTGACATCATCATAGCAACAAAAAACCTCCAAAATCACTTACTAAAATTGCGACACTGGTTCAAATTATGGAGAATTAAGATTAATGAGAATAAATCACACAATATCACCTTTACTCTCCGCCCTAACGACAGCCCTCCTCCGGTATTCCTTAACGAAAAAATAATTCCTAAGGTAAACTCGGTCAAATATTTAGGTGTTCATCTAGATAAAAGGCTAACCTGAGCGACACACATAAAAATTAAAAGAAAATCCTTAAATATCAAATTTGATAAACTTAGACCGCTTCTCAGCTTTAACATCATCTCACTCTCCAATAAATTGCTAATCTACAAACAAATTATTCGTCCGGCTATGACTTATGGCATCCAACTACGGGGCTCAGCCAAAAAATCTAAAGTCAATATATTTCAAGCGTTTCAATCAATTAACCTTAGGCTAATAACCAAAGCTCCGTAGTATGTTAGTAATCTTTCCTTACATAATGACCTAAGAATATTCCCCCTTCTATCACGCCCACTATACATCCCTTGTAAATAATGTTAAAAAATGTACTTATTGTATCAAATGTATACAGATTAAAAATATATTGTTGTTTTATAAAATAAAAAAAAATAAAAAAATTTATAATATGATTAAAATATTGTGACAATTAAAAATCTATTTAAAAATTAAATGTTTGCCATAATACATTACACATTATATTTTTTCATTGCATCATTTTTCCAACAATATATAATTGATTTAAAATAAAACTATCCATGCATTTTTGAGTATAAACAATTGTAGAATATTTTTATTTTATGTATTTAAAAATATACACTGTGCATTTAAAATATTATAATAACCTTTGAACTTTATTCACCAATGTGTACTAAATATGTATGTATTACCTAATATGCATGGATTAATTTATTTTATATAGTTCTTGATTAAATACAATTTGTTTATACATAAATAATTGCAGTTTAGAAATTTAATAAATTATGATAGAGTTCTAATGTTTTAATAAATATTTTATTATTTATGTTCAATTATCTATATTCTTATTATTTAACTTATCACTTTCTGAAAAAAATGATAAATATATCATTTTAACAATACCTACTATAAAAGTATAAGTCGGTATAAGCTATTCCTACCATTTAACATTATAGCTGTAGTAGTTACTTACCTTATATAGTATGTCATTAATTATTATAGTTACCTATTTCGGAAAAATTTGTATTTTTTATAAACAGCTTTTAATAATTGAGAAATTTAAAATAGTATTATTGTGTATCTGGACAATAATAAGTCATGTTTTGGGTAACCTTGACAATGGCAATGACTAGTGTTACAATATTAAATTTTAAAGTAATTATAAATTATCATACCTACTTAATATGCAAATCTAAGCATACTGATAACTGTTATTAATTGAAAAATATACAGTTATAGGTGGCTTAAAATACAATTAATAAATATTTTAGAATAATATCTACTCAATTATATGGATAGCTAAACAGTTTTTATCCACAGCAAAATATTTAAAAAAATATTTGGTTTTGCTATTTATTTACTTAAATTATACGTAGGTAGGTACCTACAATAATAATTAAAGTTGGTTCTTTGTATATTTATACAATAAAACCTATGTTAGTACTATTATAATTGATATAATCCTTTACAAACTCCACTTTTTGGCTAATAGTTTTCAATGTTAATTGCAATCAAAAATTTTTAACATAATATGTTTTAGTAATTCATTTTATATCCCATCCATTGTCTAAAATAGTATGTTTTCCCTAAGAAACCAGAGTCAGTATACTAGATATGTATATGTATCTCTATATTTATTTAAAATAATAACAAATATTAAATAACAAAGTAACCACTTTTAAATCAAGGTACAATTAATTGGCTACATGACATAAGCGCCGAAGGTACAAAAATGACCTATCATTTGCGCCAAAATTTGTATGACATAAGCGCCAATCTAATATTGTATACCTGTTTTTCTTAACACATGTCATAAGCGCCAAAGGTATAATAATGACCTATCATTTGCGCCAAAATTAATATTTTATTTCATGTAATATATTACATTAAAAAAATTGTCAATAATAAATTGTTAAAATATAATATGAGTATAATAGGTATGTATACATGCAATAAATATAAATTTAATAAATTGGTCGAGTTTTTGTAAAATAATACATTTATCGATTAAGATTAAACGTTTGGAGTTTTTGATCGATATAGTTATAATTATAATATTATCTGTTATTTAATATCTATTAACCGTAGCGGCTCGTGGTGTTCAAAGTAGGTGGTGTGCAATCATTGCAAAAGTTTATTTTTAAAAAATTAGTCTGTTTTAAGTATAAATGTAATTAGTAAAATATTTATTAGCATTTTTAATTTTGAGATTATACAGTTTTAGAAAATAATATCAAGTACTTTAAAAAATATTAATTAGAAGTATAATAATAATTGTCGTTTGTTTGTTTTTAAAATTTAATTTTTTTATATAATAAATACAGTTAAACAGATATTTGTTAAAATGAATTTATTATTATACATAAATGAATTATTATTATACATTTTCACTATTATATCTAATTAATATATGTGGTGAGCTCACACTTGCACACCTTGGCACGAGCAGTCACTGCGTAGCACACAGGTACCTAGAATTTTGGCGCTTTTGTAAGGTAAGATTTTTTTTTTCTTATCACATTTTGGCGCTTATGTCTTTCACCGAATTAATTATTAATTAAAATCTCATTAAAAAAAAATAATACATTAATTATGATTGAGACTTCATCTATGGAGATAAAACTATGAGTTACGCAATACCAAAATTCATAGCAGCGTTTTAATAGAAAAAAATCAAGTGTTTTTTTTCTAAATTACTTGGTTGTACCTATCTATAAATAAATTACAAAAAGACAAAATATTTCTTTTCTTTCATTTAAAATATTTACAATTTGTTGATAAGGTATATTGTACATTTGAACTATTCTTTTGTAATTTTGAAAAGCATTTGGAAGGCATTTGGATTTTTGTTGGCATTAAAATATTATGTCTACATGAAAATGTAATAATAAAAACGTCACTAATACCTATAAAATAAAACCTGTTTTAAGATTAGGCCTTACAATAATACTCTGTATTTATTACGTCCCGATCGTTATATTCTCGAATACGTCGCCAAATCCGTAGAAATATTATGTTTGTTTGAAAAAACATTCAGTAATCCCAAGTATTTTTACGCTATGTAATACGTAGACGCGGCGAACGCGAGCGACTTTTATTCCGACCATGCTGTTCGTCGGGCGCGAGCAAGCGACGAAATACAAGCTGTTTTGTTTTTCACCATATTATAATGATTATTTCAATATAATGCTACAAAATATTTGAAAATTTGAAAAATTAGTTGAAAAAATCGAAGTAATTTATTTTTTGCAATCATTTATGAGCGGACTATTATAATGTCGCTTAACTGTAGATTCATACTTTTTGTCACTGCTTTATATACATTATTATAGTAAAATTGTATTCATAACAACCATAACAATAGTAGTTTCGATAGTAATTTATTATTTGAAATTCACGATAGTACGTACATTTATATTTATATTCATACGAGATTAAAGTTTAAAAATTTAAGAAAAACATAATCATTTACATACATATACATGAAAACATGTACATAACATAAACTTAATATATTGGTATAAATACGATATTATAATAATAATTGCAGTACTAAAATAAAAACATTGACATTTGAAATATTACAAAAAAAATCGAAATATTTGTTTTTGGGCGGCCATGTTACACCACAAGGCACTCAGGAATACAGGTTTTCAGCTGAAGGATATTTGCACGTGGTCATTTTTAGGTTGTTTTACTGCAGTACATAGAAAACATATATATATGAAAAGATAAATAAAAAAGGTCCATCTATATAATTCTTCGAAATTATCTACGGGTTCAGGTAACCTAAAAGAAGTAAAGCAGATAACGACGACGCCGAGAGAAGGCTACTGATTGGCCGATGCATTGGTTTTTCAGCTCCGGCAAAGTGGCAGTACTGAATTCAACTCTAAGCGACTGCCGAGACGCGTCACCTTCTCAGTGTCTTATACTACCTTTGAGAAGGAAGAATATTATTGCTTATTTAACTTTAATACATTTAAAATCATTCAAACTATGGATATTTCGGCTGATGAATTGAACCTCCTCGTTCTGCGATACTTACAAGAATCTGGTAAGTGCAATTACCAATTTGCAATTAACCTTAGTTGTTTTTTGCACCATATTCGAGTTAAATGTATATTTCGTTTAGGTCTGAAACGTTCGGCATTTACGTTTGGTCATGAATTGAAAATGTATGGAAAGGATATCAATAAAACCTTGGTTCCTCCAGGAGCTTTGATTAATATCATTCAAAAGGGTCTTTACTACACCGAAGCTGAAATATGCATTGGAGAAGATGGATTAGAACAGCCTATGACTGAGAGTTTGTCTTTAATTGATGCAGTTAAGCCGGACATTGTAGCCAGTCGACAGAGCCACAATAAAAAAAAACTAAGTGTGGTCAAGAATGATGCATCAAAAACAAATGGTGATAATGACACCGCAACATCGACTCCAGCTGTTACTAGCACTGAAACAATGATACCAGTGCTAGACAACACAATTGAAATTCCTGCCGAAAAATCTACTCTCCTTATGGGTCATAAATCTCCAGTTTTTTGTTGTGCATGGAATCCAACTACTGATGTGCTTGCTTCTGGGTAATTATACAAGGTGATTTTTTAAGCATACTCACCCCCATTTTTTCCTCTAATTGTACATTTATTCAAATTATGATTGTTAGAATTTTTAAATAGACCTAAAGACTATATTTTCAAACTTCTGATATTTTGTGTGCTACTTAATGAGTATCCTTTGGCTATACAAACTTCTATTTTTTGAATCAGAACCCCTTTTTTATTTTTTATTTTGAGTAGTTTCTGAGTTATTAAAATGTTTATACTAAGAAAAACAATCCTTGAAAATGGTTTTATAAAAATGAAAACTAAATATAATTTTAGATATAGTGTTTATTATACTTGGATTATATTTACAAATTATTTAATATTTATATTGATAAATCAATGGTAATTGCTAACTTTTTCAAATTGTCCAAGCCCCCTATGTACCTAAGACATTCGCATAGACATTTTATCCTTAAAACACCAAGTTACATTACTCAAAAACTATTATCTTGAATTTTGATTTGGATGCATGAAACTTTTCAACAAAAAAATATGTGCTTAATAATTAATAATGAAAAAGGGAGGTTTCTATTGAAAAAATTGAAGTTTTTATTGTTACAGGACCATCCTTAAGTGGTACGAAAATTTCAACGGTTCGAAAAGTGATCTAAAAATGTATTTAAAAATTCCAAACATTTAAATTTGAATATATTCCTAATTTAAGCGTAAAAAAAAGGATGAGCATGCTTAAAAAATCAACATGTAGAATTTACACACCTTATATTACATCATTACTTAAAAATGTCAAATCGTATCTTATTATATATTCAAGTGTGAATATTTATAAATAGGACCATACTAAAAATTATTAAAACCTAGGTTCTTAGGCGTTTTATATTTTTAATCTTTATGAAAAAAACAATTTAAATTTATAGATCAAGTGATGGTACAGCTTGGATTTGGGATATTCCTAACAGTTCTGGTGTTCTTTCTGGACTTCTATTGAGACCAAATATTCAAGGAGTAGAAATTCCAGTACCCAATGAAATTTTATCCATTGGTTGGAATGTATGTGACTTATTTTCTATATTTTAAACAAGTGTTTTATTTTGTTACTAATAGTTATTATTTATGTTTAGTGTGATGGAACATTATTAGCCTCCAGTTCAATAGATGGCGATGCTCGAATTTGGATGAAAGATGGCAGAATATCAAGGACTCTTCACGGACATAAGGGTCCAATATTTTCTTTAAAATGGAATAAAAGAGGAAATTATGTACTCAGTGCTGGAGCTGATGAAGTAAATAATCTTATTTTTC